GGGTGGACGTGGGCGAGACGCCCTGCGGCTTTCGATTCGGGAGCTTGACGCCCACCAGGGAGTACCCACGCACCCCTTGCCAACTGCCCTGTCTCTTGGCCTCCCCCTTTTCCTGCGCCTGCCCCATACGAGGAAGTGGTCTCCCGAGGTACCTAACAATTTCCAGGGGTGCCCAGCGGCTCCCGGGAGGCCTCTGGAAGCCGCCGATAGCCCAAACACCATGACCATCCTCTCCCGCTCTCGCCATTACAAACCAGAGATCCGCCCTGCTCCCCCTCCTCCTCCAATACACCCCCCCTTTCCTTCTCACGCATCTCCCCCTCCGCCTCCTTCTCCCCCTCCTCACGGTTAAAAAGGCAGGAGATCAGATCCCTTCGGCCGCCCAGGTGCCCCTCCGCCCCCCGCGCATCAGGGTGCGACCCCCCCCACCCCTCTCCCCCCACTTACCCACCCGCACCCACCCACCCCACCCCACCCATCCACCCCCCCTTCGGGGGAAGGGATAAAAGGGAAGGGGTTTCCCTTCGAGTAAGCTACGACGTTGCTCAGATTGGCTTCCCCCCCGTGTCTGGGGAGAGCTGATTGGCTTCCCCCCCTGGTCGCGGCCGCTCCCCGCGCCTGGGGAGAGTCGACGTCTCCTTCTCTTGGAGCCGATTTTCCCATCGCAGCGGAGCCCAGCGGCAAGACGAGGGAACGACAGACGAAGACGACGAAAGAGGGAGGGGCCGGGGGAGCGGGAAGGACGCGGCAAGCACGCAGCCCGCCCGAGCTGCGAATTAGTCCCGTGGCCCTGGGCGCTGCAGTAGGCGCACATCCAGCGCCTCGCGCCGGGCGGCCTCGCGCCCGCCAGCCTGGGCGACGGGCAGGAGCAGCAGGGCTGCCGCCCTGGGCGGCAGCGCGGCGGCCCAGCCCGCGCAGGGCGACGCCGCCAGCCGCGGCCACGTTGGCGCCGACGCCCCGCAGCGCACGCAGACCACCCAACCTGGGCCTTGCACGGCAGCGTGCGGCAGCCACGCTCGCCCGGCGAACGGGGCGGCGCACCGGGCCCTCGCCTCGCCTCGCCGCACGCTCGGCCCGGCGGCGCCGGCACCGCAGCGGCCGCGGGGCGTGGGCCCTGCCGCGACCCGCCTGGCTGCGCACTCCACCTCAACCAGCATCCGCTGCGCGAGGCCCAGGGCGCGCAGACGGTTGTCCCGCCCCGTGACCAGAGCTGGCAGCGGGAGCCGCGAGCGCGCGGCGATGCCCGCGAACCGGTTCGGAACCGGTCAGCAGCCGCATTGCCAAAGCGGTCGTCGTGGGCCACGCCGCGGGCCCGGGCGCTAGCCGCGTTTAGGTGCCCTTTGACCCACTGCGCGACGAGGATCCCGTGCAGGCAATGGGGGGCCACGGTCTCCCAGAGCTCAGCGTGCGCCCATTCCGTCGGGGAAGCCCCCGCAGGGAGCGCCGCGACCCCATTGCTGACGAATCGGGAATCGGCGATCACCTCAACGGGGCCCGCCGCGAGGCTCAGCGCATTCGTGGCGGCTGTCAGCTCCGCCCTCTGCGCTGTCTTTCGATCCGCACTCCCCAACCCGCCCTGGCCAGGAGTGGGCCCGTCGGCCGCTCGCAGGCGCCATGTGCCCAGGCGCGCCTCCGCGGCGGGCGCTGCAGCAGGTCGAGCTGAACAGCGGGCAACGGCGGGGGCACGATGGGCTCGCGGGCTGCATCGGCCAACGCGCTGAGGACAGGGTCCTCGGGAAGGACACCCGTGCGAGCGGTGCAGGGCGGCAGGACTGCGCAGAGGTCCTCGGGGCGAAACCCAGTGCCTGGCAGGGCGGTCGCCTTCGCCTCCTGCCAGCACGGGCACCGCCAGAAACGGTGGTCAGGGTCCTCGTCGGCCGTCTGGCAGGAGGGGCACAACGTCGGTTTGCCCCACTTGGCCGCAACCGTTTGCGTGACGGCGCTGCGTGCGAGCACCGTGCGGAGTGCACCTGCCAGGTCTGGCGCGAGCTGCCCCTCCTCCAGCAACCTGCGGGTAGCCCGGCGGTCTACCCCGCCGTCGAGGTGCACCATGTCGCCGCGGGGGGCGGCAACCGCAGCTGCTTCGCGGCGGGCCCAAGCCGCCAGGAGCACGCCACGCGTGTCCTGCAATGCGCGCTCTGCGAGGCGCCACCCCGCCGGCGCTGCTGGGACGCCCGTCCAGCTTTCGACGTCGTGGCCAAACTGCAGCTCCGCAAGGCTGGGCATGGCCGCCGCGATCGGCCCCTTCTGCCGCCCGTGCCCAGCCGCGATGGCGCCGGCTGCGCTGCGCCACAGCTGCGCTGGGAAACGGCCGCGGCGGATCGCCTTCGCGATGTGCCAGAGCGGTGCAATGTCAGGAGGGGAAACAACACACATACACAATGAATCGGCGATTCCCAGAAGATATTGGAAAATATGGGAAGTGGGGGGGAAGACAAAAACTCAGAAAATATTTGAAAATATGGGGGATGTTTTTATTTGTGTGTATTTATTTGTGTGTTCCAGTTCCCCTTCACAATGGTCGCAGCAGCGGCTGGGTCGAGGCGCCAGCTGGGACTGAGCACGCCGAAAACGATCTCCGCGGCCGCCCGGGAACCGCCGCGACGGCACCGCGCGCTGGGCGGCCGCGCGGAGCCCCCGCAGCTCGCCCTCGCGGCGGACGGCCGCGCGCCGCGCCGCACAGCCTAGCAGCCGTGTGGCGGTGTCGTGGGCAGCCCCCCTCCCCCGAGGGGAGCCGACCACCCCTCTTGGAGCCGACGTGACGATCTCGTGGGCGACGACGACCCAAGATGACGAGACCAGGATACGTCTTCCACGCCGACAGGGTCGGCGGATTTTTTTACAGTTAGGATGGGAAGGCCCGGGTGTAACCGCCGTAACCGCTATCGGCCGGCCAGAGGGGGGAGTAAGAGCATATCCTGATAGTGGCGATAGCGGCGTCGACGATGAAAACGGCTGAGACCTCAGCCGTGACCGGCGCGGGGGGCAATCATTGTCCCAGTATTGGCTCCAATCCGTGAACATGCTCGCCCCGTGAATAATTCGTTTGGAACTCAAATGTTTTCGTTAACGACCCTTCGCGGCTAACCGAGCGGTCGGCCGGGGTCTCCGCGAGAATCGATTGCAGCCAGTTCGTAAGATCAGCCGGTCGAAATTCGTGGCTACAAAGCGTGAGCGGGAATAGGGGAAGGAGTCGTTTTTTTCAAATGCCTCGATCTGCCTGGATTTGCTCTGATGTGTGTGAGACATGGATTGGCTTATTCCCTATGGTTGGTCGATTGGCGATCTTTCGTGAAGACCCCAGGGGCAACGTCCTGAGGTCGAAATCCATGGTTTCGGGCGTCTTCGGCGGTTAGTACAGGCTTCCCAAGCTTAGGATGCCTTGCAGCAGGCACGCCTCGCCCAGAGTGTGCTGAAGTTGCCCAGGGGATTTGACCAGAGGCAACGTGACGGGGGACAAGTTCACTGGCAACGTTTTTCTGACATGTGTGTCGGCTCCAGACTCAGGGGCAGGTTTTCCAAAGTCGGGGTGCCTTCCAGGCGGAAAGCGAGGGCGGAGGAGGGATTGGGGGAGGAGGAGGGAGGAGGAGGGGGAAGGAGGGAGGAAAAGCAAAGAGGGAGGAGGGAGGAGGGAGGAGGAGGGGGAAGGAGGGGGGGGAGGAGGAGGGAGGAGGAGGAGGGAGGAGGTAGGAGGGATTGGCGGAGGAGGGAGGAGGGAGCAAAGACGAGGAGGAGGGGGAAGGAAGGAGGAGGGGGCGGTGGTCTCCCTCCGCCCCCCCGTGTCCTCCCTCCCCGTTCAGGGCCCCCCGAGGCACCGGGAGAGGGCGACTCCCAACCGTCCCCCCCACGGCGTGGATCGGGTCGGGCGAAAGGGGGGGATTGGGAAAGGGGGGGTTACGAAATTTGCTGCATGCAGCTGGTTTCGGCCCGACCGAGGGGCCCATTCCTCGATACATGGGCGCCTCCCGGCGCCGGGAGGCGCCGGGAAAATCAGCTACGCGAGCTGATTTTCACCCCCCCCCCTTTGCTATCCCCCCCTTTCGCCCGACCCGAACTTTGCGGGCAATGTCTTTATCCACATCCAGTGCGGCGTGGAGTTTCGGACACTCTTCCCAAGAAGCATGAGGCGCACTGGACATGGATTCTAGTCTGCCTCCAAAAGGCTCCATGTTTCTCCATCTCCGGTGCGCCTCGGCCTTGCGGCGCCCCTTCCAAGGAAGTCCCAAGACGCACTGGATACGGATATAGATATTGCCCGCACACTCTGCTGGGTGGAATGGTGTGTGTGTGTGTGTGACTGCGCTGCGCAGGCCCCACCCTTCATCTCCAGGACATCCAGAGTGTCGCTCTCTCTCCGGGACACGGGCCCCCGGCCTCTCGACCAGTTCCGCGGGGCCGCCTCTTGCCGTCCTTGTCTGACGGCCCCGAGGCCCGGCAAGGGCTTCGAGAGGCCGACCATTAGAAAAACGAGCTCCGCTCAGAATCTGTCGAGACGCCGGATGTCTGGACTCGATGGCGGACAACTGTTCCACCACCACTAACCATATGTGGGACGGGGGAGGGGGGAGGATGATAGGAGGTCCTTCTCGTCCTCCTCCTCGTCCTCCTCCTACCCAGGGTAGTGGTGGTCGAGCATGGGCCCATCACTTGATTCCACTCTCCCCCCAGATGCCCGAAGAGAAGGCGACGCGCGGGCCCGCCCGGCGCCGGGTCGCCGGACAGCGCGCCACTGCTGCCCGAGGCGACGGCGGCGCCGCCGCGGCCGTGCATCGCCCGCCGCCGCCAGCTTCGTCCTCGCCCCAGGGGCGGACGGGAGCAGTCGGCCACGCGCCGCAGGGTTTTGTTTCGATGATTCCGGTTCGATTCGATTTCGATAGCTTCTGATTCCGATTCGATTCGGCTTGGGATTCCGATTTGGGTTCCGATTTCTCATTGGAGGCTTGTTAGCCTGCCGATTTCTGCCGATTCGACTTTTCCCGACTCGGCTGCCGATGTCCGCCGATGCGACCGACTCGTGTCGACTTCCGATCCGACTTGCCGATTCGATTCCGGGCTCTCCTGGAGCAGCCGGCCACGCGCAGAGGGGGGTAGGGGGAGGGGAGGAACGCTTCTTAGAGTCTTAGAAGCACCCCTGCTTCTTAGCAGGCGCGGGCCTTGTCTGAAGATGTAAGGCCGCCGCCTTTCCCCCTCCCCCTACCCCCTGTTCAGGCGATCGCAAACATGGATTAAGGGGGCGTGGAATAGCGACGGGGACCGTTTCTATGGGAAATCGCGGATTGCCGCCGCCAAGCGAGGCGGCACCGGCCGCATTTTGGGGAGGGCGCCTCCCCCGATCCATGGATTTGGCGACCGCGCGCCTAGTCCATGGATCGCTAATCCATGTTTGCGCGCCCCCGACCTGTGCGCGCCGCCAAAGCAGCCAGCACGCGTGCGCCTGCCCTCCCTGACTGTCCACCGTCCACACCTTCTGACCAGCGTTCCGTCGGGCACGTTCTCTCTTACAGGAAGGCGGATTCAAGAACAGTTCAGACATTTGTGTGGGTGCGATTTTATCATGCTCTTGAAAACGATGCTTGCCAATTGCTTGTATGGCTTTTGTTTTCTTGCACAATCCGCCTGTAGGGAGACACGCCTGACCTGATCTTCGCCCCACGGACGGACGGGAGCAGCCAGCACTGGTGCGCCTGCCCTCCCCGACTCTCCACCGTCCACGCCTTCCGACCAGCGGGTGGCTGATTCGGTAATTCCCCGCAGGAGAGTGTTTTTGTTGCACTCTGGGCCATGACGCGCGTTATGCCCCCTACCCCCCCGCCATAACGTAACGCTCCACTCCCTCAGTGCGTCCCCGGCACCGCCGCAGTGCGCCCTGCACCATAGTCTGGGGGCGGGGGTGGGCGCTACGTTATGCCCCCTACCCTTCCCCCCCCATAACAGGCGCTACTGTCGCGGAAAAATCATTCGCTCTTCTTCACCGTCCACACATTCCGACCAGCGGGTGGCTGATTTCGGCTTTTTCCCTGAAGAATATTGTTTTGTTGCACTCTGGGCCATGATGCGAGTTCCCCCCCGCCATAACGTAACGCTCCCCCCCCCTCAGTGCGTCCCCGGCACTGCCGCAGTGCGCCCGGCACCACAGTCTGGGGGGAGGGGGGGCGCTACGTTATGCCCCCTTTCCCATCCCCCCCCTTATAACAGGCGCTATTGTCGCGAAAAACACATGCGCTCTTCTTCACCTTCCACACCTTCCGACCAGCGGGTGGCTGATTTGGTGACCTCCCCGAATCAACAACAACTGCGCACAGATTTCTTGGATCGGCGCTGTATCGTTTGGCGGCGCCTCTGGCATCGCCCCTGGTGCGCTCCGCGAGCCAGGGAGGGGGGTCCAGCGCAGATTCAAGAAATACATACGAAGCTGTGAGCGTTTCTGCCCCTGGAAAAGATGACTGAATCAGCTACCTGCTGGTCGGAAGGTGTTGACTGTGGAGAGTCAGGGCTGAGACCCAGAGATTCAACGTACTCTCAAAATTCAAGGCTAAGGTTTTTCGCTGCTATCGGCCGCTTCAGGGCGCTTGCCGCGCCCTGGGACCGTCAAATAATGATTCGGGATGAAAGTATTGTTCCCAGAGACAGGGTCGAGATTTCCGAGGACCCCGCGTTTACATATAATGGCGACATGGGAGTTTGCACGACGCCATCCCTTCTGATCCTGGCGTCGCATTTTTGTTTAACAACCGTCGACCTTGCCTTGCTCTGGGCCCCAGATGAAGGCGGATCGAACAGTGCCGCAGGAAGCGGGGGTCTGTAGGGCTTGTAGTCGAGCTTCTGTTGCAGCAGGGACCCATGCCAAGAGACGCCCTGCTTGCCTCCAGGGTGCTCTGGGTTCCTTGGGTGTCGATGGTTTTGCGATGGAAAGCGTGACGTTCCCACACCGAGGATCCATGGACGTCCTGGGGTCTCAGGGCTGGGTCTCTCGTGGACTGCTTCTCGTGGCCGAGCTCCTGCTGTGGGGCTCGGGTCGAGCTTCTGTTGCGGGGCGAGCAGGGAAGCCGGCCGAGCGGCCACGGCCGCCTGCTGCTCGCAGAGCACCGCCAGCGGGAGGTGAGAGGGGGCGCCCTGCGCCGTCGTCCTCGCCTCAGGTCGGGCCTGTCCCTCTGCAGGAGGAGTATTCAAAACTGGTCAGACAGATAGTCTGGGGACGAGTATTTCTCAATTGCGCATTCTTAAGTCTTCGCCCGCAATCCCCTCTTGGGGGGCACGACCGACCTAACCAGAAATCCTGGCGATCATGCTTTCGAGGCGGGCGCCTCGCACCGCCCCCCCGGAGATGCTGGCGTCTCATGTTTTCGAGGCGGGCGCTCTCCTCCTCCTTTCTCCTCCTCCTCCTTCTCCTCCCCCTCCTCCTCCTCCTCCTCCTCCTCTTCCTTCCCCTCCCCCTCCCCCTCCCCCTCCTCCTCCTCCGCCTCCTCCTCCTCCTCCTCCTAGCTCGCCTGACTTAGTTCACCCCGAAGCGAATGTCAAAACAAAATGTCCTCCTCCTCCTCCTCCTCCTCCTCCCCCTCCCGTAGCAATTTTGGCTCGAGTCCGTCCCCCCTCGGGGATCTCGGACTTGGCCGAAATGGTCACCATAGCCGTCTCGCCCGAGGCCACCTGGCCGGGCGCCGCGCCGCCCGCATCCGAGGCCCGCGGTTCCATATGTCCGTGCTCTCGCACGCTCGGGTGATCCCGATCGCGCAGCTCGTTACGCTCCTGGTGGTGGCCGTCAGCCGGGACAAGATGCCGCACTGCCGCTCGGCGGCCAGCACCTACACCCGCGAATGCCGTGCGCTACAACTGGGACTCCTCCGGCGCCCGCGACGCTGCCCTCTTCTTCTACAGGCTCTCCTACCACCTGCTCCCGCTGCCCCTCAAGGAGATCGGCTTCCGCTAGTATTACGTCGGGCGTGCCCCCCAACAGAGGGGATTTTCGACGAAAAATACAGAAAACCCCGAACATACCCCAAGAAGGTCAAAACATAATCAACAAACAGTCCCCAGACTACCTTTTTATTATTTGTTATAACCAGGTTTTATATTTTTCGCCGGAAATGCCCCTGTAGGGCGACAGGCCCGACTTAACGCTAGTACCGCTGGGAGTCTGCAGGGGCGACAACTTGCACCGTGCCGCAAGCTTCATCCAGCACTTCCGCGTCCACGAACCTGACCACGAGGGCCCCCGCGTCTCCTCGGCACGGCGCTGGACCACTTCCACCTCTTGCCATCGAGGCTGGAGTTGGTCATCGGACTCTACAACAAAATGCTGGTCCGCTTCCACGTCCTGTTCCTGGGGAGCCCGCCGGCTGCGCCGTCGATGACGTTTGTTATGCTCTCGCTGGTCGCGACCTGCATACCATTCTTCCTACACGTTCTGAAGTTCGGTGGTTCGCCATCGATGGCGGAGCTCAATATGCTCTTCTGCATGGTCCCGCTGCTGCCGCCGCTGGTGGTGAACAGCAAATTCATAAAGTCTTGCTTTTCGCTCCTACTCCTGCAGTGCCTCATGGTCCTGCTGATCTACCGCTTGCCCTGGTCCTTGCAAAACTCCGTGAAGCTGCTGCCGAGGGTGGCGGCCTATTTGACCAATTCCTCCAATCCCCGTGGGCGCATGGCGTCTGTCTTGCGAGCGATGCCGACGGTGCCTTCGCTGACGTTCTCGAGCTTCCTCACGCTGCCGCTAGTGATGTCCATTCGGGTCGGGCGAAAGGGGGGGATTGGGAAAGGGGGGGGTACGAAATTTGCTGCATGCAGCTGGTTTCGGCCTCACCGAGGAGCCCATTCCTCGATACATGGCGCCTCCGGCGCCGGGAGGCGCCGGGAAAATCAGCTACGTGAGCTGATTCTCAACCCCCCCCTTTGCTATCCCCCCCTTTCGCCCGACCCGATAGTGATGTCCATGCCGGTGGCGCGAAAGAGTGCACGAAGACGTGCCCGCTGCTGCCGCCGGCGGCGTGCGGAACTCTCTCCTGATGCCCTTTGCTCACGACGGCGCTGCCGCTGGCGGCGAACGATGGCATTAAAGTTGTGCCTGCGGCTGCCGCTGGTGATAAACAAGTGCGTGGAGGCGTGCATCAGGAGGAGAAAAAACACACAGACACAATTAATCCTCGATTCCCCAAAAAATAGGCAGTGGGGGGGAAGACAGGAACCCAGAAAATATGGGAAAATATGGGGAGTTTTTTTATTTGTGTGTATTTATTTGTGTGTCTCAGTTTCCCTTCAGTGCAGTTTTACGAAGTATCTCCCGCTGCCCCTGCTCACGATGACGCTGGTGCTGGTGGCGAACGAGGGCATGGAGACGCTCCCGATGCTGCCGCCGGTGGCGCACGGGTGCATGCAGATTTTTTTTTGCAACGCGCAGTATCCCTGGATTCCCCTGCTCACGATTTCGCTGCCGCTGGTGGCGAACGACTGCATGAAGACGCTCTTGTTGCTGCCGCTGGTGGCGAACAGGCTGCTGGACCCGAATGGGCTGTTCCTGGCGCTCCGTACTTGTGCCGTCCGGACCTCATCCAGCTCCTGCAGCGTAGCTCTTGAAAGCCTTGCAGACGAGCTGGCATGCACCGTTGAGGAGCTTCCGCTGACGGCGGCGGCGTCGAAGCCGGTGGCGTACTACACCGTGCCCCTGATCTTCCGCAATCTAGTTCTGAGATGAGCTGCCCACATGCCTGCGCAGGCCTAGACCTATCCTTTCCTCCCTCCGCTTCTGCCCTGGCCTCGACCCCGCCGTTTCCCACTCATGCGACAGCGTGCCCGATGCGCGACTCTCAGACGAACACAACGAAGTTTACAGGCGCACGCTTCTCGGCTCTGGTCGCAGCGACTAGCGCTACCACAAGATACATCCATAGGTGGAGGCGCTAGGCGCGATCGGGAGAGAGTGGAGTCACATTCTTGCCCTCTTCTCGTCTCTTGCTCGTGATGCGCCTGCCCTCTTCCTTTCTTCAGTGTGCCCAGACTCCTCCTCCCCCTCCCCCTCCTCCCCCCCTCCTCCTCCTCATCCCCCTCCTCCAAGCCCCTTTCTGCCCCGGCATGAAGCATATGGGGCCAGAGAGGGCTCTAACCGATATTGTGCGGCCCTCTCGTCCATCCGCCCATCGAGGCCTCTGGCCAGCGGCGATGGTTTTCACAGCGCTCACCTGCAATCCCCTGCGTGCGACGGGTGACAGGCTTCTTGAGACCGCCGAGGAGCTTAAGAAAATTTAGCTTGTGGGTTTGCCAGGTACTCAAAGAAAGGCGCCACCTGATGCGACGCGCGCGGTCTATCCGATCAAGAATAGGCCGTGCATATAGTCGGGACTGCGAGGAGGAGGACATTCTATGAAGTCAACATGAGCTGCCGCTTTGCGCCCGCCAGGATGGCGCCAACGAGATGTTCGCCAGATTTGCACACCACCGCCATCTCTTTTGGGGAAAGGGCTTGCTGTAGACTGTGAAAGAGGAGGGCCGAAGATTCTCGCTATTTTTTATTTTCCGCCCCGTCTTGCGAGTGCTCCCTCTCGCAGAATGTATACCTTGTCGTGCGCAGCTGGGTAACTGGGCACGGGTTCAGCTCCAGAGATTGCCGAAATGAGTCCGACCCCTTGTGTTCGCGGACGTGAATGACGGGGTGGGCTCGATTGAGAAGGAGGGGGAGTGGGTTCAGGTGGAGACGGAGGCTATGGGGGAGTGAAAACGCGGGAGAGGCAAATCGGAGGAGGAGGACAACGATTTTGGGATCTTCTCGAATCGGCAGGCCTCTTCTCACCGATTGCGCTTCGAGATTCTGCTCCAACGTACTATGGAGATGGAGGGTCCACGTCTACGATCGCCCATACAGGCATCCCCATGGGCTGGTGTGATGCTATAAATTGTGCATCACCGATCTACCAGATTGCTAAGAAATCGCAGGTCATCCCATGCAGAGAGCCTCGCGACCACTTGCCAGTACTAAACAAGATTATATCATGAGGTGGGTGGGATCGGGCAGCAGGCTCGTCGGGCGGAGTCGACAGGTAGGAGGCGAAGTGGGACAGGGGCCGGCTGACGCGGGGGGTACGAGGAGGTCGTGTGCGCGAGGACTTTGTTCGTGGGGTCGAGCATGAGCTCGCTGTTTCGTGGCAAACCGGGCAGCGCCTCATGCGGCAGCCCGATGTGCTCACGAATAGGATTGATGCAGTTATTCGCCGAGTGGGGGCAATCATTTTCGGCAACATTGCGCGCGCGAGCAAGATCAATCTAGTCTATGCCGTCAACGGCTTGAGATGCTAGCCGAACGGCGCCGTCCTTCATCGGGCTGAGCTTGGCGCGGCCACCCCAGAGCAGTTTCACGTTTGCTGAAACCGTCTTCGCGATTCGACCAAACAGTGTAAGTCGCTATATCGAAGAAGAAGGCATATACGCAGTGATCACCTTGTGCAAGAACTATGGGATGCATGGCGTGCTCGCGATCTTTCCCTGTTTAATCGCCTCTCCCTCTGCGGTGTTGGCTGCCGGCTTGGGCGAACCAAACGAGATCTTCGTGCATTCGACGGTGCTCTTCCCACGCCTGAACAATGGGGGCGCGGGGGCGGGAAGGAGGCGGTGGAGGTATGGAGGCGACCAGGGGAGGTTGGAACGAGATCTGCGCCCACCAGGTGGCCCTCTTTAATCCCAGCGGCTACACTGAAGATGGGGCCAACGCAGCCTGGTCTCGTGCGCGCTTGGATCTGGAATTTCTTGACACGTACTTTGCCAGGGCCCCCAAACGTGGAGGTGTGCCTCGTTCGGCTTTCCCTTTGGAATTGTGGCGCATGCACGTTGTAGATGGCGAATATTCTGGGTTACTATTGCAGCGTGTGTTTGAGTGTGCGCGGCATTGGGGAGTGGTGCCCAAGCTATGGAATATTATCCGGGGGCATGCTATACCTAAAGCTGCCAGTATGTGCCCCAGGGGCAAGAGAGTGGTTCATGGTTTCGATCCGAGTAGTAAGGGTTGCTACGCGGGGATCCTCAAGGTGGGCCCAAAGTTCCAGAACGCACACTGTGATCATGGTTTTCTTCGGTGTATACGGCGAGAAGGTGCGATCGTTGCGCGTATGATTACGGGCCGAAGGTTCCACGGACTAGGCGTGCACTGGTACGAGTATTTGAAGGACCGTTCGAATGCATTTGCCTCCCACAGGTGGACTTCCCTGGACAAGTCCTGTAACTCGCTCGCGCAACATGCTGGTCACATTTTATGTCGACAAAGGTATCGCACCGCAGGGTGCACGCTTCCATCGCGCAAGGGTTCTTTCATGATTAAGCCTGGTTGTGGGGCGCTGCAGGGCGACCCTTTTGCCGTGACCAGCTTTGTGCGCGCGTTTAAGGAGCTTGTTGATCGATGGACCGACCGTTGCCAAGATGAGGGTCCTGGCGAGCAGTTCCTGTGGGCTACGTTCCCGTCGGTGCTGGATCTCACTTCGGAGCCCGTCTACATTGGACTCCAGAAGTTCGCTGGTGGCTGACTGGAAAAACCTGCTGGGCCCCCCGTTCAGCGTGGAGAGTCCAGGACAGAAACTCGACCACAACGGCCGAACTTTGGATGATGAATTTCAATGCGCCGGCGTGAGGCGCAATCAAAAGAGGCACGGGGCGATCGTGGCGGTGCCCCCGAGCTGTCGGCGAAACGCAGCTGCTGTTTCCGCTCCAGGGACGCTCCGAAGGATCCATGTGCGTCTTCTTGGTATTCTCCTGGCTTCTTTTTGAGGCTCTTTCTTTCCACTCTTGGAGACAACGTTAATGATGCTGACGATGTCCACTGAAGTTGATGCTCAGACTCTTAATGATGGTGATAAGGATTATACGAATGATGATGTGGATGATGCTGATCGCAATGATGCTCATGAAGGTGGGGTGGCATCGAGAGGAGGTGGAGACGGCGGTGGCGACCCCCCTCCGCCTGAGCCTCTTGTGCTGTTTCTACCCCAGGGCTTGCCTGCCTTGATGGCTACCAATTCTCCGTTTCATCTAATGCTCATCTCCTCCTTCTCCTCCTCCTCTTTCACTTCTCCCTCCTCTGCTTGCGTCCGCTCCTCCGCCCGCGCCTCGCCCCTTCTTCCTCCACTTCCTCCCCCTCTTCCTCCTCCTCCTCCTCCTCCTCCTCCTCCTCTTCCTCCTCCTCCTCCTCCTCCTCCTCCTCCTCCTCCTCCTCCTGCCCCTTCTTCCCCTCCTCCTGATCCTCCGCGAGCCACCCGCAGGGCGACGCGCCCGAGGCGCGCCCGGTCGACAGCGCGGGCGAGTGGGCGACCCTCCTCGCAGGCCCCGCGCGCGCCTGAGGCGCCCCTATCGGGGCGCGCCCCCGCGCACGGCGCAGGGCCCTCGCAGGTGCAAGAGGTGCACATACTGCTACCCTTCTGGGAGGCCCTCCCTTCCCCCCTTCCCTCCCCCCCTTCCGTCCTTCCCCCCCCCCTTTCCACGCCCTTTCTCCCCACCGCCCCTCTCCCCACTGTCCTCTCCCCACTGCCCTCTCCCTCCTCCCCGTTCCCTTGGAATTTTGGCCTCCTAGACGGGGTCGGAGTAGATGGGGTCGGAGAATCGCGCCGCATCGCCGATGCATCGCCGACGCGGCTCGATGTGGAGCCCTCGTTTCCCCACACCGACGTCGTCGATGCATCGCCGACGTCGCCGATGCATCGCCGATGTGTCGGCGGTGCGGCGCGATCCTCCGACCCCATTTGCTCGGACCCCATCTGGGAGGCATCTATTGTCGCCACGGTTGGCTTCGCCGCCATATTCAAGTCAGAACGCACCCAGGGAGAGGGGATGGGGATGGGAGCACCCGTGCGAGCGGAAAGTCTGACTCGGGTCAGCTGGCCCGAAGGCGTTTCACGGTGCATTGGCAGGTGAAGCCGAAACCATAGTTGAAGTGCATTAAGATGAAGTCAAAATTGAAGTGCACAGAGCAGAGGCCAGGGAGAGGGCCGAAGAGTAGCGGTATCGCCACCTTGTCGTTTCCCGCGGGGGCCGCCCATCGGGGGCCCAGTAGGGGCCGCCGCTGCCTGCTCGAGGTCTCGCCGCCACGAGCCAGAGTTAAGTCGGGCGTGCCCCCCTAAAGGTGGAGTAGTAGGATAGTTAAAATATAATCAGATGACGATTATTCCACTATTTTTGAGTTTGTTTTAAAACAACATTTCTTCCACAATCCGCCTGCAGGAGGACATGCCCGCTCGAAAGCCAGAGGGGCCCCGAGGGAACGACCATGGCACCCGGGTGTCACCGGAAGGCGAGTTGCAGAGCTCCTTTTGACGCCTCTGACTTCATTCCGATTCGATTCGATTTCGGATTCCGATGTGGAGTTCTGTTTCTCAGTGGAGGTCTTGGTAGCCTGCCAATTTTGGCCGATTCGGATTCTCCCGACTTGGCTGCCGATGTCCGCCGACCCGATTTATTCCGATCGTAGGAGAGGGGCAGGTTCTTAGTGATGGGTTCGGCATTTTTGTTTGTTTTATTGTTTTCAGCATTGGGGTGGCGTTTTCTGGCCCCTGGACCGTCGAAAACAGATCTTGAGTGAACAACGGCACCGTATGGACCCCGGGTGGGTTCTGGCGACTGAGTTTGAGCAGATGTGTTTGTTTTCTTCTCTTGACCGACTTTCTCGGGGCCCAGTCATCTCAGACGCTCTGGCCGCCTCAAGTAGCACCCAGGTGCCGACGTGGAATCCCAGGAGAGTTGTTGGGCGTTGCGTAATGGGGGGGTCATAAATCGGGGGGGGGCGAGCGTGGTCCGAAAAGGTACCCAAACGGTGCCTAAACGAGCCCCCTGGGGCTCCGGGGGGGCCCGAAAGGGGCACGAAAGGGGACCGTTTCTGACCCCCCCATTTGTGACCCCCCCACGAAGCCACGCCCAAAGTTGGGCAGGGTGGTGAAGAGCTGGGGGGCTGGAGATGGCACAAGGGCGGGGGGGGGGTGAAGGTGCGGGGAGGGAGAAGGGGCGAGGACGGGGAGTTGTGGCGTCGGGGTCCCGCGGCGCAGAGGATCGTAGAGTCATCCGCGAGCGCGGCGGGCCTCGAGGTCTAGTGTGCAGCGCAGGCCGTTTTTCGTTTTTCACGGAGGGAGCCTTCTTCTCGACCCTGCTCCTCTGATCCCCCGCCCCCCCCCCAAATGAATCACTATCGTTCCTGATCATCGTTCTCCTCTTCCGCATCATCCTGGTATTCATTCTTCTTCCCTTCCTCCCTCCCAGGACTCTGTACCTCCTGGAAGTTCGACATCCTCCTGATCCTCCTCCTTGTCCTGCCCGATGGGGGCTGGATGAGGTGCGGGCTGGATGAGGTCCTGATTTGGTCCGGGTCTCGCGTTTGGTTAAGTTGCTGTCCTTGTTTCGCGGTGCTCGGCGCGGGGTGCTACAATCCACACGTCACGACGCCGTGGATTGGTCGGCAGTCGGCGCACTCCAACACGTTATCAGTGGCGGCATGCCGAGGCTGTGCGAGTTCATCCAGGGCGGCGGAACGCACGACCGCGCTCTCCTCGTGCGCAGTGCAGTACAGTCGACCCGCATAGCAAGGATGGGCGACCTTTCCGAGGGCACCCTTGCATCATTGCCCCCCTGGCCCATCCTGGGCCGCTTTGGCTGGCCGCGCCCCGCTCGCAAGGTTCGGAAGCCGGGCGGAGTCTGGCAAACCCGCGGCTGCTGAAACGGAGCTCCGGGATTTTTTTCCCTTCCGGGAAGCAGCCTGTTTATTACTTCGTGCAGTGCGCTGAGATTTATTCCAGGAGTTTGTTTTTTTCTTCCGGGAAGACCTTTCTAGCAGCCACGGATTTGCCAGCCCTCGACCAGCTTCCAACTGGTGTCGACATGGCCTTCCGGGGCACTTGCATCCTTGTCGCGCATGCTCATGATGCGGGTCGACCGTGTCGCGAGAGGCGCTCGCGGTGCTCAGCCGTCGGTTGCGTCTTCGGGGGCGAGGCGGCCGGGCAGCACACCCCGGGAGCCGCTGCTTCGGCGTCTCCCTCGTCCTGGCGCGGGGGTGGTGCCCGCCGAGGTGCCGTCGCGGGAGGAGCGGCTGCAGGGGTCGCATTCTCCGTGGACGCGCTAACAGTGTGTTGGGTAAAGGCGATGTAGCGAAACCGGTTGTAGGAAGGCGTGGTCCGCGGCCAAACCGATTGTAGGACCGCGTGGTTCGTGTTTTCCTACAGCTCGCTGTGTCGTTTTCGTTCGATGCATTCGCGTGTTTGGAATGTAAGAAACGATGTTTCGTGATTTCCTACATTTTGTTCTGCGTGAGATCGGTGTCACAAAAGCCATATTCCCAACCGCACCGATAACCAAGAACGCCACTGGCGCGACCTAGGATTCTGTAGCAAATCGTGGGGGCCTGGTATACCATCTTGATTCCGTCTTTCGCGGTGATTTGTGGCGATTGGCGTCGATTGGCATTTGGGAGTCGATGAGATAGCACCGATGTAGCGTCGATTGGCGTCGATTTAGCGTCGATTTGCCTCGATGTTGCGTCGATTAGCGTCGATTCAGCGTCGATTAACGTCGATTCGAAAGAGCGGGCAAGATGGTATGGGAGGCTCCCATGAGTTGCCACCGAAGGCGTAGCGGCCAGGATTCATTGTGGACGCCTTTTTGTTCAGGTCTCATTGGCTTCCTTTTGCACATACCCTCTCTCGTAGGATAAGGTACCCATATCTCTACCCTTCGCTCGGTTTCTCTTTTTGGGCCTCCTCGGAGGCCCTCGTCGCCGCCGCTTGATTCGCCTCGAAATTCTGGTCATCACGCACCCCATGAGAGGTCTGGGGACTAACGGTATCGGTGCCTTTTGGTTTCCCCACTCTCTCGTTGGGGTGATATGTTTATCCATTTCTTGCACGCTGCTGGTAATTACCCCGCTAACGGGGACAGGATCGCTCGTGCCCGCAGAGCCACACGACGGGGAAGCCTGAGGCAATCTGCTGTGAGTCGCATTGCCTGCGCAAGCCCGCGCTGCGACGCCGTCCTCCTCCGCCCACCCGCTCAGGGCCGGGCGCTGCCCAGCAGTGTGTCTGTGTGGATGTTTCGCGCGCAGCTGGAACGGACACGCGGGCACGATGGCGTGGCCCGCGCCCGCGTTCCCCTCCCCGGTCGGCTTCTTTCGCCGCCTCTTCCGTATTGCACCTGATTTTCCGTCGCCGGTAGCTCGAAATATTGGGTCGTTCACGACCGGTTCCTTCCCTTTCAGTCCTGAGTCCTGGGGGGTGGGTCGCGGCACAAGCCGTGGCCACGTCATTGCGATCTCTCATGTTGGACTCCACTTGGCCGCTGACGCGGAAACCTGCATTTGTTTGTGTGGCGAATGCTACGTCCTTTCTGCACCAGGCCGCGTGGAATCGTCTCCCGCCTACGCCTGCTTGCTCAGGCCATGCTGTGCTCGCCGCACTCGTGCCGTTTGCCCCTACAGGCGGGGGTGTCCTGGTCCGCTCGCGTGACTCGAGTCCTGACTTATGGGCTGCGGTCGACGAGCATCGAGCGAGTTCATGAT